CTCTCTCTCTCTCTCTCTCTCTCTCTCTCTCATACAATAGCATGTGGAATGAACTTACCTGTCAATAAAATTGACACTTAAAAATGAAGCAAATGTATGGAAGTTTAACCATTAGAAAGGTTAACCATTAGAAAGGTTAAACTTCCATACATTTGCTTCATTTTTTAACAGACTGTTTGCCTTTTAGAAAGCTAGCTGAATGTCATCCATGGAGCTTTACATTACTGCGTGAAGTATCATAAATGGAAAATGCAAACAGTATTTCTCATACAATTCTGACCAGTTTAATTTGGTCTATTACTATTAGGACAAAATCAGAGGGAAATGAAAACCTCCTTAGGAAGTGGGCAAAAGCGGGTATCTAGGAAAGCTGGCTTTCTTTCCTAGACATTTTAATACATCAATGTACTAGAGAAAACTTAGAGGACAAAGTATCTTTGACAAATGTGCAAAATGCACTTAATCCTCTTCTTGAATTCAAAGTCAAAGGAAATAGATACATGTGATCCATTAGCATGAATACTAATAGAGTTAGGAACTACATTTGTAGATTCTGAGAGAACAATTTGAGTATTAGGAATTGAATAAAAATGTCATTAGAGATTTCTGAACCATAATGAGTTATCTAAGCCACTAGCTTCCTCCTTCCAGCAAAGGCCTAATGTCTACAAGTAGATTATAAAGGTTCCTACTATGTCAACAAAATGATGTCCTAAATGACAGATATATGAGACTAACTATAAAAATTGTTTCCAGAAAATAGGAAGAAATCCTCCTAGAGTCTATTCAATTTAAAAAATAATTTATCATGCCCCTATATGTAAGTTAACCACGCTAGTCACTACAGGAGAAATAAAGAATCAACCTTAAGCTCCTGACGACTGGGAATTTATAATCTAATAATAAAAAATGAGGCAAATACAAAAATAACTATATAAGTCAGGCATGGTGGGCCACAGCTATAGTCTCAGCCACTGGGGAGGCTGAAGTGAGAGGATCACTTGAGCTCAGTAGTTCAAGGCTGCAGTGAACTAGAATGGTGTCACTGCACTCCAGCCTGGGTGACAGAATGAGAGGTCTCAAAAAATAAAAAATAAATAAATAACTGCAATTTTACATGTATACTATTAAAATACCATAAAGAGGCTTAGAGCAGCACTTTTCAAACTTTAATATATACATGAATTACTGTAAATCATTTATAAAAACATAGATTTTGATACTAAAGGTCTGAGTGATCTAGGAGCTGAGATTCTGCATTTCTAATAAATTCCAGGTGATGATGCTGACGCTGAATTCTGAGTTTCAAAGCATTAAGGTAAAACAGTTTGAAGGCATCAGCCCAAGTAAGTAGAAGGGAAGAAAAGTATAGTCATGACAAGAGATAACAAGGTATTTCAGAGGACTCTTGAACAGATGCGATTTTGAGGAAATGGAAACCAAATGTAAAATGAATCAAGCAAAGAAACGTGCTTTTCTTTTCTTTTTTTTTTTTTTAACTCATGGAGCTTTTAACTTAAGGTAAATCCTAATAATGATTACGTCTATTGTTTTAGAAGAGTTATCTTACATTATCTGCACAGATATAGAAGAATTTTATTAACATGCCATTCGTAATAACTTAGGTGGTTTCTAGACTTTGCAAAGTCGAATACCTTGACACAACTACAATTTTTAAATTAGTGGTTCACACCATGAGCTCAGACAAGAAAGCTCAACAGAAGCTGAAACTTGTAGACCTGGTTCTGGATTATCCCTGATTCTGGTTCATGTCTCCCACTCCCCCACCCTTGGACAAGGCTGCTCCAAATGTTGGCAGCCACATCCACAAGAAGGGAAGCAGGATGAAGAATACAGGAATACAGGGTTCCCCCCGCTTCTTAAGCAGCAAATAACTCTTAATCTCTATATTTTTTCTACTGCTGTGAAATAACTTACTATAAACTTGGAACCTAAGATAATACATATTTTACTATCTCACAGTGTCTGTAAGTCAGAAGTCCAGGCATGGCACAGCTAGAGCTCAGCATCTTACCAGACTGAAATCAATGCAACAGCTGGCTGGCATTCAATTGGAGTTCAGGGTTTTCACCCAAGCTCATTCAAGTTGTTGGAAGAATTCAGTTCCTTGCAGTTCTGGACTGAGGCCCATTTTTCCTTCCTGCAAAGGGCTAGCTCTCAGCTCCTAAATGCCAGTCTCGGCCTAGCCATGCGACACTCTCACAGTGTGTCAGCTTACTACTTGAAAACTACCAAGAAAATCTCTTGCTCCAGTCTGCTAAAATCTGGTCTCACATAATGTAATCATAGGAGTGATAATCCATCACCTTTGCCATTTTCTACGAATTAGAAGCAAGTTACAGGTACTGTTCAACTCAAGCAAAGTAAGTAACCAGGAGGCAGGAATCACTGGGTGTTACCTTGGGGTCTGTCTGCCATAGTCAAGAAACTTGTTTCTCAGAAAGTGTGACATTTAATTGGAAACTAGAAGAATGAACAATCAGTTATGTGAAGGCAGTACACTGAAGAAGCAACCGCTGAGAACAGAAGGAATGGCAGAGAAATGGAAAAGGAGGTAGCCCTCAAAATGCCTACCACCAGCACCCATATCAGATATCTTTTCATTCATTGCTACATGCTAGTAGACATGAACAAAATACATCACATGAATTTTATAAACCCAGCTACCCAAATTTCTCAACCATTTCATACATACCTAAAGAGGTATGCATCAGTGTGAAAGACAGACACAGAAAAAAATACTGTTTCCCTTCCTGGAGTGTCAAGTTTATATCTGGCAAAATTAATAAGTAATTTAAATATCCTTATTTTAAAGACAAATATATTTATAAAATGTGTATATAAATGAATAATACAACATTTAAACTAATTTTTTAGATAAGACCTGAAGACTTAAAGAAATTTCCAGTTTGAGAGTACATTACACATTTTCTCTAGGACTTGAGATTATGCTATTTTGAGTCTACTCTGTACTTTATACCTTATTAAGTATTAATGAGGGAAGAAAACTCACAGGTGAAGACATAAATTTTTAAACACATGGCTGCAAATGTAATGCACATTAGCATGTTCACTGTAGTCTCTGAAGGCAAACCGCAGACTAAACTAATATAAAAACAGTTTAAATATATATATAATATACACACATATGTGCTGTCAGGTATTAATGCCTAAGTTACTGTACTTTACAATTATCCTATCCAATAATTAATTTTCAGGGTGGTGATAAAGGCTTTCTATGTATTTGTTCTGAGTTTAGTTTTTGTTCTTTTCCTTTGAGCTCCTATCCTATGTTCTGTGGCATTAATTGCTAATAGTACTCGAAAATCCATTTTCTCTTTTCTCCTTATTAACAAAATCTTTGCCTGGACACCCTGCACATTCTAAGCTTCTTTGCAGCTAGATGTGGTCATGTGGCCAACTTCTGGTCAATGTCAGCAATGCAGTCCTTAAATGGAAGGGATAGGCCTCCTCTTTTTTTCTTTTCTGACTGGCTAGAATTCAGAGCAGTTGGGGTGCACCATTTTGGATCATGTGAAAGATGGTAATACCTGAAGGATGGTGAATCAATAAGACAGAAAAATCCCAGTATCCCCCAACACAATGGTACTTATTAGTTCTGGGCTGCTTATTAGTTCTGGTTATAAAGAAATGTAAAATTTTTTTCTATTAAACCCTTGTAATGTTGGGTCTTTGTTAGAATAGATCAACCAATGTCCTAACAGAATTTGACAGCCAGAAGTAGTTGCCACCCTAACAGAACCTGTAATATGTGGCATTGACTTGGAGGTTGAACAGCAGATGCTGACAAAACAAACTAAGATGAAAAGCTACTGACTCTTTCTAAGCCACAGCAAAACATTTAGTATGCGTCGGCTACTTCTTGCTGCTCTCAGCAAAGCCCTTCAAGAGAAATAAACACAGCCTAAATAAAGCAGTCTCGTGTAGATATAGAAGGGAATTCAGCTCTACTGAGGAAAGTCCATACCACATACAGCCTGAAATCTAAGTTGACTTTACAGTGGTGCTTTATAGGATTTAACAGCCAGGTTTTTCTACATTCCTAACACAGTTAAAATAGGGAGTTCAGAAGACACAGCCTAAACTGATATAAACTTGGGACCCTAACAGTTTCCAGCCAGACAATGGGAACCTACCCAGAAATCAAAATGGTAAAGGTATTACCTTCTCACCTAAGCATCAAAGATTAAGAAACTGGAGAATTTGCAGAACACAAAGTCCAACAATTTAAATCCTGAATTTTTAGCTGAGGAAAAAAAAAACCCTATCTTTGGCTGTGGTTACTTGCATTTGGAGTTAACCTGCACAAATAGGCAGAAAACTCTGAGTTTTTGAAAGGATGTAGTAGTTACACACACACACACACACACACCAGCTTAGACTGTAAAAGCCTATGATTGTTCAACTCAAAGACAACCTCTCAGGTTCCCTTACATGTACCAGCAGGAAGTCAGCTTTGCAAGCTATCCAACCCCAAGAAAACAGTACACTTTCCAATGCCCACTTTAAATGTGGCCATAGAGAACAACAGACAATAAAGAACCTCCCAAAGGACATAACCAGAACCATGGATAACAAGTGATTTTGTCCTCCCCAAGGACAGTGGGGCAAGCTTGCCCAGGACACTAACAAAGACCTTTTTCTACTACAGGATAAAAATAATCATGATTCCCACATACAGGATTTGACAATTGCTAAGAACAAGTAACTTCTAGGTTTCCTATCTTCCCCCTTTCCAAATGGAGTGTCTTATCCTGCTTCTCCTCTACTGCTATCTTTTGGATGTGTTACCCCACCCCTACTTTTACAGTGGATACAGTATCCATCATATATTGGATCCATATGTGGGGCATTAATAGATGGCAGACAAATTAGATTTCAGATTGGATGTTCCAACCATTAGAATGCACATAAGGACTTGGAGAGAGAACTGACTTTCCATCTCCCAAGTACAGTAAATTATGAGATGGATGAAAGTTGGTAAGGGAGTCAAGATGCTCCATGGATGGAAAAGAGAGTGCACATGACAGTAACTGCTAGATGTCTCCCCAAATGCATGTTCTTTTTCCTCCACAGTAATAGGAGTCTTAGGTAGGTATATGATACCCTTCATCTCCTAACCTCCTTTGCTATAGGTGGTAACGTGTGACGTGACTGAGTTCTGACTAAAAGGCTGCAAGAAGAAAAGTGATGTGTGCTACTTGCAGGTCAGTTCTCAGAATTTGTATGTTTGTCCCCCACAAACTTCTGGTTGAAATTTGATCCTCAATGTTGGAGGTGAGGCTTAATAGGCAGTGTTTCAGTCATGGAGGTGAATCCCTCATAAACAGATTAATACCCTCCATGGCAGGGACGGGAGGCGGTGTGAGTTCTCTATTAGTTCCTGTAAGAGCTAGTTGTTAAAAAGAGCCTGGCACCTCCTCCTTTTTTGCTTCCTCTCTCACCATGTAATCTCTGCACAACGCTGCTCCACTCCACCTTTCATCATAAGTGGAAGCAGTCTGAAGCCCACACCAGAAGCAAATGCTCGTGCCATGCTTCTCGTATAGCATGCAGAATCATGACCAAATACATTTCTTCATACATTACTCAACTTCAGGTATTTCTTTATAGCAACAGAAATGGACTAAGACATTCTCCCTGTTCTTCTTCCTGCTAGGCTGTAAACATGGTAGTTTCCATCCGTACACATTATATCAACATCCTAGGAACTGCAAAGCCGCAAGATAGAAGGAGGCTTAGTCTCCAACACTGCAGATTCCTTACTAGCCCTAGACCAGAATAATAATTTCTATCTTATTTACACATCTGTTGTTTCGGATCTCAGAGCAGCTAAGCCTATATTCTAACTTACACATTATTATAAAACTATGATAAGAAATTTGTTAATTTGTTACAAAGATATATATCTAGAATGGCTTTAAAGCCCTATTTCAACTAAACTTCTGGTTAATTTAGATTGTGACTCACTATGCAAAATCTATGTTTTGTAAAACCATTTACTACCAGATACAGTGCTAAATTACCACTTATTTTAAAAAATAGGAAAACTCTAAACATACTGAAACCTCACTGAAATGAAATGCATTCTGTAATAGAAATTTGTAAACACAGATAAAAAAGCCTTGAATTTAAAACCTGGGAATTGTTTAACCAATGTTAATGTAGCACTTCTTAATATGTAAATTTTTTATTAGTACATATGTTTAAGAGTTTGTTAGAACTGAGACTTTTCATCAGTTAATTTTTCACTAGTTTAAAAAACCCTTTACATTTAAATACCTGTCATACAGCCTAAGAAAGAACTGAGACTTTTCATCAGTTAATTTTTCACTAGTTTAAAAAACCCTTTACATTTAAATACCTGTCATACAGCCTAAGAACAATGAAAAATAATTAATAAAAGACTATTGTACATGTCATTAATGTTTCACAGATCACATATGCTTTATATGTATCTCTAATATACAAAAATTTGCTTTGTCCATGTAACAGTTAGAAATCAATAAAGGGCTACATGGAATCATCCATAACACAAATTTGTTCAAAGGAGCAACATGTAGTATAAGTTAATAAATAATATGCCCCATGGTGAGCTTGCTAGATGTCCTACTTGGCAATTAAAATATAGGCTCCCATGCCTCTATTTTCATTGGATTCTGCTTGCCACTGCCACCAGTCCATAATACCCAAAAACCAAATCACATTTGTGACCAATTTAAACCATAAAAGAACTTTGGAAGGTAGGACATATTAATCAGATATCTTTTCCATTAAGTTCCAAGGCATGCCAAGATTTTGGGACCAACTGAGAGAATGTCCACCTTCTTCCAGGAGCAGTACAGTGTATCCCTATCCATTACTCTTTTGGAGTGCAGAGCATTTTTTTTCTGAGGTATCTATTGTTATGAAGATGGGTATCTTTTAAAAATTTAATTTGCAGTAGTTTCACTAATTTAATTCAGGTTCCATTAATGACTACATATTCTGAAGATTTTTATGTGATTTCTATCCTACAGACTATCCCTCTGCCCCAGACGTGCCGGGTTGTCAAGCAATTTGGGAAGATCTTAACATCTTCCTCTTCTCCCCTATACTACCCCACACTATACACCTTCCCTTCATTCTGTACATTTGTCTGTCTCCCACACACACGTTTAACCAAATTGTGTTTTAGAGGACAGTATTTGCATCTCTGATTCATCTTTGTATCTCTCCCATACACCCAACCTCTTATATCTAGCATTATGCTTTCCAGTAAAACCTTTACAAAGTATGGTTACTCAGATCATTACCATTACATTTTCATAGAAGTGAATGATTTAAATAAGAATTTTTAAAGGAAGAAGAAAATTCTGGTTTAAAAAAACAACAGCACTCAATTTATGCTAATAATAAAGGGGTGAATTGTTCAAGTTTATGCAGAAAAGTAGAGACAAATTGGACTATTGGATATTAGATTTTATTTCCTTGAAGGTAGTCTTCATTCAGGAGACCAAAGTTTATTCAAAAATAAAAAAATGAAAACCTAGGCTCTAAACCTTGCTCTACCACAACATTGTGGTATAAATGTCATTTATGTTTACCAAATTATATTGAAAAGAATATCAATAAGAAGATTATATATAAAGTCATACATACACTGTAATGAATAACCTACAAAAGATATTCAATAAAAACTACTTGACTGATTGCTTTAAAGAAGGAAAGAAATGTATATATTTGTTAGGATTGAAAGAGATTAATAGCATTATTGGAAAAAAACACCAATATATATTATTCAATAAGTGCCTACTACATATGTCAGTCATTTTACATGCATTATTTTTATTCCATACAAGAATCCTAAGAAGTAGGTATTAATTTTACAAGTTTACATGTGACAAAAGTAAAACATTGACAATTAAGTACTAGAGAGAGCCAGAATTCAAGCCACTGCATGTCTTACTCCAAAACCTGTGAGTATTCTCTAGGTTACACTTCCTGCCTAGCCACGGCCCTCACAATACTGGTAATAGTATGATTATTATACTTGAGTAATTATGATTAAAATCATTGAGTATAATTATTATACTGAAGTCAGGATAGAAGGAGCCATAGCCAGAGTCTCAATATAATACATGCTGATCCCATCACTGAAACACAACATAAATCTGGAAGGACAAGTATCCTGTGCAAATCTCTTTGGTTCCTGGGTTTAGACAGAGTTTCAATAACAAGCTCTAATAGCAAGAAATTCCAAATCTATTTGGTTCGTAAGTTTTAGGTAGCAAATAGCAAGTTTGGATACTGAAGGATTCAATTAAAAAAAAAATCACTTCCTGAGTTCACATAGCTAGAGTTCAGTTGACGAGAGATACTATCTGAATGGGTTTTATAGTATGCTTCCTACACATTCTGCACTACATTTGGTGGTGTATACAGAGGAGGTTTAAAACATTTGGTTCACAGCTGGGTGTGGTGGCTCATGTCTGTAATCGCAGTGCTTTGGGAGGCCAAAATGAAAGAATCGCTTCAGCCCAGGAGTTCAAGACCAACCTGGGCAACATAGGGAGACCCCTATCTCAAATATAAAAAATAAATAAAGTAATTTTGGTTCCAAAGAGTTACAATCTACTTGGAGAAACAAGTCTATCACACCTATGTGTAGGTAAAAACACATATTAAATCTACAATCTTGTATGAAGCAAAAGCTAAATGAAATGCTACAAACTGTACTTTTTTAAAAGAAAAGATTGATAAAGATGGAAATAATCACAAAAGCACAAATCAGGGGATAAGATACAGTAAATGCAGAAGGAAAAATCAGCAGGACCTGGGGATTAAAAAAGGATATTTCCAGCAGAGAGGGAGCATCATCGGTTAGAGCTAATTAACAGAGCTTAGAAAAGGCGCTGCCTGGCTTTTCCTGAAAGAGTGACAAGAAGAGTGTGTCATGAAGAATGAAAGAAAGAGTGACAAGAAGATTGTGACATAAATATATGTCTGACTCTTCACACTGTCTGCAGCCACAGCATGCATCAACCATCATTTTCCCAACCCCTGTCTGTATAACTATAAGCCAGTCCTCTCAGGCTGCAGTGATGTGTGTGGTGCTTTTTGCTGTACCTAAGGAAGATGACTATACTCTGTTTGCTCAGCATTTCCTTGAAGGAGCTTTCACAAGAACATTTTCATTTATAACCCAGCGGTCATTCTTTTGTTTCTTTGTGGCAAACCCAGCTCTTGCATACCTTTTGTCAACCACTTACATTTCCCAGAAAGTAAAATAAATGGCAGTTAAATAAATGCAAAGGCCAAAGTGAAGTGCATGCAAGTTAGAAAAGCTTCTTTAGCTCAAAACAAGGAGGTAGTTGGTGCTCTGTTGGCTGGGAGTATTTGTAGCACTGTGCATTCATATGTTCAAGGGATGAGAGAATTCAGCACCATGTGTCACACTGGCTGTCGCTGGCGAGACACTAAAATAAAATTCAGATTGTGGGAAAATAAATAATATAAAGAAGCCATACCAGATGTTTACATAAAACAAGGATCAACATTTTAAAAGAAAATGTTTCTGAAATAAATAGCATTCTAAGGAAACTATGTGTAAGGAACCCAGTTTTTGATCTTCTACAAATCCTTCAGCCCCACCTGCATCACCTCCTAACGTTAGCTGTCTCAGCCTTGCCTGGAGGGAGGGTTGAGTTCCTGGCACTGCACAAGACCGGAAGCAGTTTGGCACCAGACCTGGTCTGACTAGACTCACAATAGCCCTTGTACTTCCCACCATTTCTAGACACAAATGAAGGGCTGTTCCATGGGGCAGCAGGATCTGGCTTTCCAATAGCTTCTGGAAGGACTGAGTAGCAGAACCCAGCAGGGCAGGAGGCAAATGCTAACCAATGGAAGGCAAGAAATAGGAAGAACACACAAATAAATTATCCCCTTTTCCTCCCACCAACAGACTATTCCCAAATGAATGTTTCCATATGGATTATCCAGAGACACCTCTGGAAAATCAGCAGGTCCTGGTGACTTGGCTGTGTTCACAACTCCATTACATGTCACCATGTATTTGCCATTCCGTCTTCTCTGCCTTGCTTCTCCTTCTTCTTTTTTTTTTTTTTTTTTTTTTTTTTGAGATGGAGTTTCGCTCTTGTTACCCAGGCTGGAGTGCAATGGTGCGATCTCAGCTCACCGCAACCTCCGCCTCCTGGATTCAAGCAATTCTCCTGCCTCAGCCTCCCGAGTAGCTGGGACTACAGGCACATGCCACCATGCCCAGCTAATTTTTGTATTTTTAGTAGAGATGGGGTTTCACCATGTTGACCAGGATGGTCTTGATCTCTTGACCTTGTGATCCACCCACCTCGGCCTCCCAAAGTGCTGGGATTATAGGCATGAGCTGCTGCTCCCAGCCTGCCTTGCTTCATTTTTTTTCCTCTCTTCTACTATATACTGTTATTCCCCGCCTTGGTAGAGCATAAGCTTCTAGGAGCTGTTGTCTAGGAAAACCAGTCTAAGATAGGCAGTATTAAATTAACTGAGGCAATTTTTTAATGTTTTCTTAAAAGTATTAAGAGAAAAAGAATAAATTTTTAACTATTTCTGTGCTTGCAGTGAAGAGAAAGGGAACTAATACAGGTTGGACATTTACAATGGGCCTGGCACTGAGGGTAATAACATTACATGAAATAACATCAAAATCACAATTGGGTTTTCATGTAATGTCATTTAACCCTCATAATAAACCATCTAATTTTATTGATGAAAAACAAGGAAATATAAATAGAAATAGGTGGGCTTTTAACTTGTTTAACACCGAGCTCAGCCTAGCAATATAAGCATTGCAGCATGGATTCAGTGTTGCAGTCAGCCAGACCTGGTCAGGCATATTCCAGAACTCAAGTATCTATAATACTAAACCAATCTGCAGGAAATCCATTAGTCCTTCTCATTCTGAATACTTGGTTTCATTTCTTTTTCATTTCTCCATTCAGATGCTAATGAAAGCTCTGTGGCAGCCAGCACTTTTTCTAAGCCAGTTCTTCTGAAAGTTTTGCAGAGCATGCAATACATAGGTCATCTTCACATCAAATGCTGCAATCTTTGTCCGTTTACCATTTTGAAGCAGAAAACCTGTTGAATTTCACCTAATTTAAACTACATTTTCTTTAACCAAATCTTTAAAGAAACTGCATGTGGTTCTATCCAAGCAATCCCTCTTGCTGCTTTTGGCAAACTTCTTTATAAATAATTAGATGTAAATAAAACATTGGCTTGCATTTTCATTAATTTTGCTGTAGATTTACAGAATAATCACAAACACTTATATACACATAATATGTACCAGGCACTAATTCACATAATTTACATTAGTTCACTCATTCAATCTCAAGACTTGAAAAGATCTTGAAAATCTTAGAATACAATCCCAGTGACTGCTTAAATCCCCTCCATGATAATGTCACAAGAATATACTTCATTGAGTAGAAGAGCTCCCACACTGGAGTCAGAAAACCTAGATGTACTACTTTTCGTCAGGTGATTATGTAATATTTGCATGGCACTTTCAAGTGTCATTTCCTTTGAGTCTCACAGTGACCTTACATATAGTTACAGCTCTGAAATCTTCATCTCCCTCCTAATCACTTTTCTAAAGAAGTGATGAGGTAGAGTCCTGAAACCCCCATAGATACTGAAGGACAACTAAACTGTCTTTACCACATCTCTGCTCTTCCTGCACCAATCCCTAGTTCCATTAAGAAGAAATGCCAGTCTTCCTAGCCTTCATCTCCCTTACCTATCTCACATCTAATCCATTATGAAGATCTTACTGTGTCTGTGTAAAATCTCTCAAATCATCTTCCCTATCCCAACTATTAGCTCAGTTCAGTGTGAAGGCTTCTTCTGCCATGTTTCCATAGCACCCTGTACATAACATTTTCATTACAGCAATCTGTCTAGCTCTGTATTTTCTGTGTTATAGGAGCATAACCTATGTCCTCAGTTATAAAAATCACCCACTTTGGCCAGATGTGGTGGCTCATGTCTATAATCCCAGCACTTTGGGAGGTGGAGGAGGGAGGATCAGCTGAAGTCAGGAGTTCAAGACCAGCCTGGCCAACATGGTGAAACCCCATCTCTACTAAAAATATGAAAATTAGCCAGGCATGATGGCAGGTGCCTATAATCCCAGCTACTCAGGAGGCTGAGGCAGGAGAAACCCTTGAATCTGGGAGGTGGAGGTTGCAGTGAATCAACATCACACCACTGCACTCCAGCCTGGGTAATGAGAGTGAGACTGTTTCAAAAAGAAAAACTACCCACTTTCTTTTTCTTCCTTCCCCACCACCTCACCTCTTCATTCCTTCCCTCTCTAAACACCCCACTCACTCCAGTAACACATACTTATCTAATTATGCTCTAAAGAAATTCCAGAGGCTAATCTTGAAACAAACCAGCCACAGGGCCCCTGTGGAATCCTTCTCTTAGGGGGAGTCACAAACAAGTAGTCCACCATCATTGGGACAAACTCAACATAATGCCAACCTGACCTCTGGACCAGTGATTACCTAAGATAGCCATCAGAACAAGACACAGAGACCCTGCACCCTGTACCACTCCCACATATCTCCACATCAAGTTGCCCTTTAAAAACCCTATAGTCAATTTTAAAATTTAAGATGGTACTTTAGAATGCTTTTTGGTTTGCTGGGTCTCTGATTAAACCCTGCTTTTCCTCCCACCAACCCTCACCTCTTGTGTTTGGCTTTTAAGCTGTGAGCAGCCAAATCTGGGTTCGGTTATACCATGAGATCCCTGAGGTCAGCAAGGGTTTTCATCTTTTATCTTCAGCACAAAGCAACAGTCAAAACTTACTAAATGTGGAAGTGAATGAATGAATAACTCAACAATTGATCTTACTAAATAAAACTTTATATTTTTATATCCCTAAGCAGGAAGCATAATGTTTTCCTCAGATCATGAATTAAAATGGTTAAGAAATAATTATATGGATACACACATATATATACTTGTGCTCTAAATTATTACATAATAGAAATTGAGGGGTCCTGAAAGATCACTTATTCTAACTCCCTCATTTTATAGAGAAGAAAAGTCAAGCCAGGAGAGACGAAGTAATTTGCCCAAGTTCCCAAGGGGAAGATATATGCAATGTTTTTGTCTAGACATAGAAATATGTAAATATTTACAGCATTATTCAAAATAACCAAAAACTCAGCACAATGCAACTATTTATCAATTGGTGAGTAAATGAAGTGTAGTATAACTACACAATGCAATACTGCTCTGGAATAAAAAGGAGTGAACTACTGACACATGCAACAATGTGAATAAACCTCAAAAACATAATGCTAAGGGAAACACACCAAACTCAAAAAACTAAACAAATATTGTATGACTTTATTTAAAAAATTTCTAGAAAATGCAAAATTATATAGATACAAAACAGGATCTATAGTTGCCTGAGACTATTAATAAATACAAGAGAACTTCCTGAGAAGTGTTTTAAAACTGGATTTTGATGATGGTTGCACAACTGTATCAATGTACTAAATATTTGCATTGGGTGAACTTTATGGTTTATAAGTTTATACCCCAATAAAACTGCTAAAATACTTGTTTTGGTTCTTTATAATGTATAGCATAATGTTTGTGTTCAATAGATTTTTTTTTTTATTTGAAGAACCAGAACTGATGGGAAATCATACTAAATTTTCACTTTAAATTATAATGTCAACAGCAGTGTTTTCCAAAATATAGTCAAACACATATCAGACTAATATTGAGAGCTAGGTAAAACTGTACTCCCACTTCTACCTCCATTCTTAGCCCCCATCCAAACCACTCCCCATACTGCTGATTCACCTTAATCAACTCTATTTTTTTCCACAGTTTTTATCACCCTCTAATATATTATACAATTAATATATTTAAGATGTGATTGCCCTTTTTCCAGCAGTGACTCCCAAGGCTCCAAGACAGTAAGTACTGACATATTCCTATGATCCAGAACAGTTCCTGGCACATACTGTAGGTACTCAGGCATTTGCTGAATGAGTGAAATTTAGGTTCCTGGGCTTCATCGGAGAGGCCAAATAGACTGTTGGAGTAGTAGGGCCCTGGGATCTACATCTTCACCAGTTCCTCCAAATAATAACACTAACATTTAAATCCACTGGCCTACAGAGTCTAGCTCTTCACACTTGGCCATAGCAACTCAAGTGGTGGCAAAAATAATCTAATGACAGGAACTATCCAGAAATGTGTAAATAGCTAAATACAGAGCTTACAGACTTAACATAATGGTAGATGAAGTGAAAAACAAATTCCTCAGATTATGAGTATGACTTACCATGTTTGGCCTCAACCACAGATACCCGCACAAATCTGACACAATATTCTTAGCCAGACTTTTAAATTGTATCCCCAGGGACTCTTATATAGCCACAAGTCAAACTGACATCTAAAAAGGATTGTTCTAACTGTAATTCTGTCTGCAAACTCAAAGTAACTAACGCATTCTTATTATCTATGGTACCAACAATGTTGTATACAGCATGCTAAATACGCACTTGAGTATTCTAGGAAATTTACACTCTACATTTAAAAAACCATCATAGGGAGAAAGGACATTGAATCTTGGATTCAAGTGGCCATCTTTAGTACTGTATGAGAAAGTTCTTTTACATGAACTCATACACAGAGATATAAAGACACAAAAAATAGGCTGGGCATGGTGGTTCATGCCAATAATCCCAGCACTTTGGAGGCTGAAGTGAGAGGATCACTTGAGCTCAGGAGTTTGAAACCAGCCTGGGCAACACAGCAAAATCTCATCTCTACTAAAAATTTTAAAAGCTAAATAGGCATAGTGGCATGAGTCTGTAGTTCCAGCTACTCAGGTGGCTGAGGCAGGAGGATTGCTTTAGGCTGGGAGATCAAAAAGAAAATCAAAGTACTTGAAGAGACCCAAAAAAATACACATAATTTGTATTTATAGCCTACCTTTCAGACATGTTTTTCATTTTTCTTGTTTATCTTTTCAGGATTTATTTATTATTTTTTTTTTTGGAAACGAAGTCTCACTCTGTCACCCAGACTGGAGTACAGTGGTGCAATCTCAGCTCACTGCAATCTCCACCTCCCAGGTTAAAGCAAGTCTCCTGCCTCAGCCTCCTGAGTATGTGGGATTACAGGCATACACTACCATGCCCGGCTAATTTTTTAGTAGAGATGAGGTTTCACCATACTGGCCAGGCTGGTCTCGAATTCCTGACCTTGTGATCCACCCACCTCGGCCTCCCAAAGTGCTGAGATTACAGGTGTGAGTCACCGTACCCAGCCTTCAGGATTCTTACAGTATAGTCAGTGACTCTACTCTTTGCTTTAGAGTCATAGATTTTCCATGACATAAGAGCCATCTAAGAAACATTTTGGTAGAAAAGAAATCTAAAAAAACAATAAGGTGGTTTTTTCCTGTCTGTAAGAAGCTTACCTTTATTCCATTATATTTATCCATCAAATCTTACATTTTGCTCATTTTAGCACTCCCTATATATAAATGTTTTCATTTCATTATGATAAC